AGCGTTGCTGAAGCTGTCAATGCTGTGAATTCTTCAGAGAGATCTGTGGCGGATATTAAAAAAAATGGTCCAATCGGGATTTGATCCCCGACTCCCAGGTGAAAGTCACGTGCGCTAACCAGTCACCCAAGTGGAGATCTCCCTTGACCAAGTAGCCAGAGTGCATGATTAATCGGGTCACAGTGACAGGACACACACTGTCACAGACGCATGACATTCTGTCTCAATCTGCCCCCCGCTGATATTCTGCATTCTGTATTCTGCGCTTCAGGCTGTGTGTGTGTGTGTGTGTGTGTGTGTGTGTGTGTGTGTGTGTGTGCGCGTGCGTGTGGAGGGTCTTGTTCTGTGTGAAAACGAAGCAGTACAAGTGATAATGCTGCAGGATTTCATAATTTTATCCTTCTCAGCAGCAGCACTGCAGGTGCTCCCATGTACAAAATGTGCGTAAGCCAGGTCCTTAGTCAACTTAAAGTTGCGCACATTTTTCTACTAAGTTTTCTTTCATGAATCCCAAAGTTTGCGTGGAAAGTTGCTTAAGCAGTTTTCCGACCCTGTTTTGTGCGTAAGCAAGCTTGATAAATGAGGCTCCAGGTCCTTATCTGGGTAACTAACAAAGGTTTGCCATCTTTGTTCATTCCTCTGTTTGTTTTTGTTGCCTCCAAGCAGACCTTGGTTTGAAGTTAATCTCCTCTACATTCTTGTCATTTGTTGATTTGAGCTCACATCATGTTAACTTCACTCCTCTCTTTACATGTTAGTTGTAAGACTAGTTGTCACATCTTGTTTTTCCTTTTTGTCAAATACAGCATTTTAATCCACCTCTTCTGCCTGTTTTAGTCCTGTACTCATTTTTAAAGAAAGAATTTGCCCTATAACAAAGCCCACCACTGATGATCTCTCCTGCCTTTATAGGACTTTTACTTAAATCTCAACCTGGCAGTGAAGCTTCTGAAAACCATTTCTGAGAGAAATCCTCAAGGACTAATGTTTCCTAGGCTGTTTGTTTAGACAAGAGGGTGGAGATGGGATAACTCAGAGCCCTGTTGTTTATTTTAGAGTTTAAGAAGCTCACTGACCAAACAGTGGCGTTTTAAACATTACTAGAAATGACTCAAAACAGAACCTGCTGCTAGAAACCGGAAGGGACGTCGCTCAAGGAAAACTTTCCTGAAGGATTAGCAGCAACAGCGCGAAGCTCCGGGTTCTGAACCTGAACATACATTGATGTTAAATGCTGAAGGTGCACAGCCATACAGTTTTGAGCCAGCAGCAAGAGTTGATGGGATCAGGCTAAACAGGGATGATTAATTTAAATGGCGAAAGAAGAGCTGCTGAAGCGTGGGGACTTTCAAAATACACACACTTAAAAACGCTAACTGGTAAGAGCGTTTTTTATTTACATATGTTTCAACATAAACTTGTCCCCTGACATATTACATTAAACACGTTTCCATAAAAAATTTTTTGTTCTGCAGTTTATGAGTTTCTAAGGTAGTTAAATCATAATCGCCGACTCTGATTACGCCGCTATGTTGGCTTCCTGTTTACTAAATGTGAGCACGGCATTGGTCTAAAACATTCACGTGAGAGCTGCTTTACTACTTTCTCATTATGCTCAAAATAAAATAGTCCCAAATTCAAACAGTGATCAGAATAAAAAGCGGGTCTACTTAAGAAAAAAGTTTACTTTTGAAATCAGTATGAATGTACTGTTTTTATTAAACAAACGGCTAGTGGCCACAAGAGGTGGGAACGAGAGGAAACGAAATATGTAGAGGCAACGTTTAACACTGGAGTGTAACCCCATCACCACCATATTGGATGGGTTCCTCACTCCAAAACCTAGTCAGAGTCAACACTGAAGGTGCTTTTGTATGACACACCATGCCGGCATATTGGCGTAATATTACCGCAATGTCGTTGTGCGAATATTGCGGCATTCGTTCCACATCGCTTGGTAGTAATATTGCCGCATCAGCCCCTCACCTCTGACGGCTAAACGCGTGTCAGCCCCGCTAATCCCTTTGGAGCAACTGTGGGAGACCCCCATAAAAGAGGGTGGTCGCGTTAGCCACGTGTACTGCTCGCCTGGTGCTGGGGGGGGAACCTCCCTATATCCCGTCTTGATTGGAGAGGTGTCAGATGGCAGTATATTCTAGCTTCAGCTTTTCTGCTACTATAAATGCCAAAATCCTCCCCAGGGTGCCGCGGCAAATTCCGTTTTGAAAACGCTATGGTCCTATAAAAACAGCTTGAGTGAGCAACTATGCCTGTTTTTGTGCGGTCTATGGTTCCAACAACCGCCGTACACTTGAAAATAGATTATGTGGAAATACTATTGACTTTTCTAGCTCAATCAATGCACTGGGAGCGACTGGTGACCTATCCAACACGGCGGCCCACAGTTACACCACCAATAGAAAGCCCTGCTCATGTCTCTACATTTATATGATCTCTGTACTTCTTATATTACTTTTCAGTTGTGGAAATCGATGAACAGGACATACAGACAAACAGGAGTTAGTACAACACCAACATACACAAACATCAGCCATCTTTAGTTGAATCGGTGTTACCTCAGCAACTAAAAATAACTTCGAGTAAAACACGTCTTCCACTGAGCTTTCCTTGTGGTACGTAATGAGTCATGTGACTCCAAAACCGCGGTTTTTAGGGAAGCCTGCCCACTTCCCTTGATTTAGTATTTTTAAACAACTGCTAGTAATCTGTACACCCAGAAGGATAACCAAAGTAACCTTTTGACCTTAGATGGTGTTTTCTACCATTCTAAAGAATATTAAAGATGCACTTTAGAGGCAATACTGATACACATTTATCACACCAACAAACCACCTGGACTCCTAACACCATCCTAACATTGGTGTAACAGCGAAGGGTTAAACTTTTGCCAAAAAGTAAAAAAGTTTTGAGTTTCTGTTAAAATAACAGTTTTGTTTGAACCTACTGAGATGACCAAGTCATGGATGAGTGAAAACCTTTACCAGTATCAACAAGACAGAATAACCAAAAGTGGCTTCAATGGTAAAATGTATAATAGATGTAGTTTATGATCTACCTGTCTACAGGTGCTGGCCAGTAAATTAGAATATCATCAAAAGGTTGAAAATATTTCAGTAATTCCATTCAAAACGTGAAACTTGTACATTATATTCATGCAATGCACACAGACCAATGTATTTCCGATGTTTATTACGTTTAATTTTGATATTTATAGGTGACAACCAATGAAAACATCAAATCTGGTATCTCAGAAAATTAGAATATTCTAAAGGCCAATGAAAAAATGTTTGTTTCTCTAATGTTGGCCAACTGAAAAGAATGAACATGAAAAGAATGTGCATGTATAGCACTCAATACTTAGTCGGGGCTCCTTTTGCCTCAATAACTGCAGTAATGCGGCGTGGCATGGACTCGATCAGTCTGTGGCACTGCTCAGGTGTTATGAGAGCCCAGGTTGCTCTGATAGTCGTCTTCAGCTCCTCTGCATTGTTGGGTCTAGCGTATTGCATCCTCCGCTTCACAATACCCCATAGATTTTCTATGGGGTTAAGGTCAGGCGAGTTTGCTGGCCAATCAAGAACAGGGATACCATGGTCCTTGAACCAGGTGCTGGTGGTTTTGGCACTGTGTGCAGGTGCCAAGTCCTGTTGAAAGGTGAAGTCTGCATCCCCATAAAGTTGGTCAGCAGCAGGAAGCATGAAGTGCTCTAAAACTTCCTGGTAGACGGCTGCATTGACCCTGGACCTCAGGAAACAGAGTGGGCCAACACCGGCAGATGACATGGCACCCCACACCATCACTGACGGTGGAAACTTTACACTGGACCTCATGCAACGTGGATTCTGTGCTTCTCCGCTCTTCCTCCAGACTCTGGGTCCTTGATTTCCAAAGGAAATGCAGAACTTGCTTTCATCAGAAAACATAACTTTGGACCACTCAGCATCAGTCCAGTCCTTTTTGTCCTTGGCCCAGGCGAGACGCTTCTTGCGCTGTTTCTTGTTCAAGAGTGGCTTGACACACGGAATGCGACACCTGAATCCCATGTCTTTCATGAGTCTCCTCGTGGTGGTTCTTGAAGCGCTGACTCCAGCTGCAGTCCACTCTTTGTGGATCTCCCCCACATTTTTGAATGGGTTTGTCGTCACAATTCTCTGCAGGGTGCGGTTATCCCTAGAGCTTGTACACTTTTTTCTACCACATTTTTTCCGTCCCTTCGCTTGTCTGTTAATGTGCTTGGACACAGAGCTCTGCGAACAGCCAGCTTCTTTAGCAATCACCTTTTGTGTCTTGCCCTCCTTGTGCAAGGTGTCAATGATTGTCTTTTGGACAGCTGTTAAGTCAGAAGTCTTCCCCATGATTGTGGTGCCTTCAAAACAAGACTGAGGGACCTTTTAAAGGCCTTTGCAGGTGTTTTGAGTAAATCAGCTGATTAGAGTGGCAGCAGGTGTCTTCTATATTCAGCCTTTTCAGAATATTCTAATTTTTTGAGATACCAAATTTGGAGTTTTCATTAGTTGTCACTTATGAATATCAAATTTAAATGTAATGAACATTGGAAATACATTGGTCTGTGTGCATTGCATGAATATAATGTACAAGTTTCACGTTTTGAATGGAATTACTGAAATATTTTCAACCTTTTGATGATATTCTAATTTACTGGCCAGCACCTGTACTTGTCTCCACTTTAAGGACTTTTCTAGTGGTTCATTATTTTCCTTTCTACTAATGGGTTTATGGGAATTTTTTACCATTCCTGCAGTCTCCACTCTGGATCAGGCCAAGACTCTGTGCAATTTCCTTTACATGAATCTTTCTTGTCTTTGTCTCTACTGGAACAACGATACTTTTATACAGTTTGTTTTCTGAGATGTATCCGACCACCATTTCCTCTACATATCTGAATCCCAGCTAAGTAGAATTTACATAAAAACCTCAAAGAATAACAAAAAACCTCAGCTTATAGGTGTTGTACTCACATCCCATACAGCCGGGTGACTGTAGTACCGAACCGATCAAAGATGAAACCATTAGGCAGCGTCAGGAAATTATTCATAAAGGATGCGATGGTGAAAACGAGGGAGAATTTTTCATCCTGTAAGCTGCAATCTGTGCATAATAACCAGATAAATGTTTGGTTAAATCGAGGACAAGCATGATCAGCCCAAAAGCATTTAAACTCACCTAAAACCTGTGTGCCATTGACTCCTGTGCTGTTGACACACTCATGGCTGAAGTAACCGTCCTCCTTGAGGACGAAAACGAGGGACGCCCATCCAAACACAGCTCCGGCGAAACAAAGACACTCCACCAAGCCCGTCACAAAGGTGAGGCAGCGTCGCACCGACAGCTTGTTCTCCATCGTCACTCGCACACACACGCACACGCACACACTGAGCTCTCACCTGCACAGGTTCACACAAACTCATTCACACATGTGGCTTTGGTCTCACGGCCTCCTGAAAACAAATGATAACATTGTTAGAAAGTTTAGGTTTAAAACAAGTCTGAAAACATTCTTCCATCATCCAGCTGAAGCATTCCTGTACGAGGAGGTTTGGGAGCTGCAACACATGGAACTAAAAACATCTAAGCAAAATATTTAGCTTGATCCGACAATGTTTCTTCTTTAAAAACTATGTTGTAAAAGGAATCAAACAAACCCCACAAACTACCTGAAGCTACTGTTTTAGTTCTGAAACAGATTTTTTAAAAGAAAAGCACATTTATCAGGTTAAGAAACTGACAAGCTTACGGTCTGTGGACTCAGAACACAGAGGTCTCTTCTACCCAGCTGCTTTACTTAAATATACCTTCCTTCCCTTTGCTTCCCCTTCCTTACCCCAAAGATCCCTCCCCCTTTCCCCTCCCCAATGTTTTCTCAATACTTTCTGCTCAGCAGCAGAGAAGACTCATCCTGAGGTGTTAGTCGCTGTAAAAAATAAACTCCCCTGCATTCCTGCAAGCTGGGCGGTGAAGCTGGTTTGGCCTAGAGTTTGTGAAACTTTAGTGGTGTGTGAACGTGACACTGTGAGTTAAAGTTGGGGTTGCAGCTTGTGGTTTCCAATGTCAAATGCACCAGGAAACAAACACAGAAGTAGAATATTCTGCAAAAACACCTGAGATGAATGGGATTCAGCTGCATTTGACACAAAGTGATAAAACTCTGAAGCCTGTTTAAGCACCAGAAAGGACTAACAGAACAACAAGTTAATGTATGTAGTCATGCAGTCATTATGCATGAAGGAGCTGTAACACCTGAACACACGAACAATTTCAATGAGCACCAACACCGTCAAACCACAAACAAGATCTCTCTTTTCACAAGTGGTCAGATGTGTCAATGATATGAGGAGTTTTCTGGTTATTTTGAAAATCTTCAGAAACAGAAGGAAAATGACATCACAGCATGCATGTGATCCATGTTTCAGTCAACTAGAGAAAGTAAAAATGTACTAAAATCTCAATAATCAATAAAAACATCTCATATTAAAACTGTTGTTACTTTCAGATTAATATTTTTATTTTCAGCATTTTTGTACAATAAATGTGAGACTGTCAGCAAACCTTTTCATGAAATTAAGGCATGATAAATAAATAAAACAGTGAATAAATATATAAAACATGGAAGAGGTTGCAATTTTACACTGTAGGCAGTTAGCATTATAGGAACATAAAGATTCAAATTTCATGAGGAACTAGAACTACTGACCAAAAAAAAAAAAAACAGCTAAACTAAAAACAAATAAACTATGTTGTGGGATTTTGCTGATTAGAAAAGTTTTGTATGTAAAACAGGGAAGACTCAGATTCACTACCACAGATTGCATGTTTTACCTCATGAGCACTTCATCACAAGACTAGATCTTCATTGCATGCCAGCAAACTCACACTTCCTTCCTAAAACCGAATTTTGACTCTTGCCATTTGACATGTGTTTCCTCGAGGTACTACCATGCTCAAACACATGACTTCTCCCGTTGCACCAGGAGCAGTCACTAAAGGGTAAATATTAATACTACATGTTTGTTATTTTTCAAAAAAACTGTGCTGATTATTCTTGGCATGTCCTGCAGCAGTCCTCCCGAATTCCTCTAAAGAACAAAACAAAGTGTGAATGATTAAAATAACAAACATTCTATTGGATCAGACAGCAACATTTCTCACGTTGTTTAATTAAAAACACAAACCATGACATCTGAATAAAAGGAAGAAAGCAGATGATACCAAAAATCTAAAGAAAATACAGAGAAAAATAAATGGACTCTTGACATCTTTTCATATTTTATATAATCTTTCATTAAACCTCTTGGTACAGCTACCGTGTCAGTCAGTCACGAATAAACTAGAATTCATGCAATAAACAGTGGCAGCCAAATGTTTTAAGGCTGACATAATTATTAATGTTGCACAGTTCACTCCTTCAGGTTCAGTGACAGAATTTTATGAAAGTTCATGAAATTATAATTAATCACAAAGTTATTCTGTCATGAGAATATACATAAACACTCATTCACTCTAGGGCTGAACGATCTATTGTTTTTGGACCGAAATTGCAATTTCAAACAGCACGATCATGTGACCGTCAAAGCTGCGGTTTTAGCGGTTTTGACTGATCCAGGATCAGTTGTGTTACTTTTTTTACACCCAGGGTTCCCCCCTGTGTTATGGCAGTGGCAAAAGCCAACGCGGGGGAGGGGGGTGGGGTGCACCGTCCAGAGCCCAACTCCACAGCTGACAGAGCTGCATGTTCAGGTTATTTTCCCTGCTCCTCCTTGAACCGTCACCTTATCGTGGTGGAGGAGTTTGAGTGCCCTAATGATCCTAGGAGCTATGTTGTCTAGGGCACTTTGTGCCCCTGGTAGGGTCTCCCATGACAAATTGGACTTAGGTGAAGGGTGAGACAAAGAACAGAGGATCTTTCATGGATGAACTATCAAGGAGTCGGAGTACCCGGCCCGGAGGGTTACCGGGGTCCCACGCTGGAGCCAGGCCTGGTGTTGGGGCCCATGAGTGAGTGCCTGATGGCCGGGCTTTCGCCCATGGGGCCCAGCCGGGCACAGCCCGAACCGGACACATGGGCTCATCCAACTGTGGACCCACCACCCGCAGGAGGAACATGAAGGGTCCGGTGCAGTGTGGATCGGGTGGCAGACCGAGACGGGAGCCTGGGCGGTCTGATCCCCGGACAAGAAAACTGGTCTTTGGGACATGGAACGTCACCTTGCTGGCGGGGGAGGAGCAGGAGCTAGTGGCAGAGGTTGAGCGGTACCGGCTAGATATAGTCGGACTCACCTCGACACAGCATTGGCTCTGGAACCCAAGTCCTTGAGAGGGGTTGGACACTCTCCTTTGCTGGAGTTGCTCCGGGTGAGAGGCGGAGGGCTGGGGTTGGCTTTTTGTTAGCACCAAGATTCTCTGCCTGTGTGTTGGGGTTTACCCCGGGGGACGAGAGGGTAGATTCCCTGCGCCTTCGGGTCGGGGAA